GTGTTATGTCCAGAAAAGTTCTCAATATTCTGCATTCATATTTTCAGTGACTTTTGATACAGTTGAATAGTGAGAGATAATAAATAAAAATGTTCCTTTCCCCTTCTCATTAATGTTCTTTCTAGATTTTAACCTTTCATAATTGTAGAGATAATGTACTAAAATTGAATTCTAGTTTCAATCAAAATGTGTATGTATGTATACATATATATATATGTAAATGTACCTGTGGTCTTATTTTTTCTGGATATTCCTTGATATGACAAATATTTATGCTATAAAATCATCTTCAGTCTTATTTCAGAGATTTTTCCCAAAGGATTTACCCAATATTCTGAAAGCATTTCTCTAGGTAAAGGATTTGTGGATAGATATCAGAAGGTCCATGAAATTAGAACTTTTAATGTTTTAATATAACACTGATTAACCTGGCCCCCACTCCCTTAAGGCCACATATTACATTTCTCCCCTCTCTTAGAGTTCTGTGGTACCTTGAGAGGAAGGGGGGTTGTTAAAACTCTCTGCCAGTGGTGCCATCTCCCATCAATGATAGTCCTGTAACTATAGGAGTGGAGGTTCCCTGTACCCTAGTTCCATTTAAGCACTAACAGTCAAATTAGCTTTTTCAAATGAATATTAAATATATATATGTGGTGTATTTGTATAAATATATGTATACATACACATATATTACATATATAGATATGTATGTATACATACATATATATTACACATGCATGTATATATACACAAACATAATCCATAACAAATGGGAAGCATAATCCCCAGTCCCTTACAAATTTATTCTCTGGTAATGGGACCTAAGGACAAATAGAACAGAAGTAGAAAATATCTAAGCCATTGGACCTAAAATGAGGGAATCAAGGTATCCTCCTTTTCATTCATGTCACCCTCATTGTGAATGAACTGTGTGTTAACTATGTGTGTGTTATCTTCACCCTTTTGACACAGCAACAAAGACAGAGGAAGATTGTCCTAGTCTGTAGATGTTAAAGACAAAGCCTGTTCCAGGCACAATCAATGGAAGGGCTACTTTTACCCATGTGGCAGGAGAACGAGGAACATCTCCTCCCAGAAGCAGGGTTTTTCCAATTTAGAAGATTTGGGCATGTTCCCTTTTACTTTGATAACTGTGGTAAATATAATTGGCTCCCTTTGTAATCCTATGTATTTTCTTTTTGCATTTAACATTATTCTAAAGGATCCATGACAAAAAAAGTTAAGAACCTTTGCTCCACATATTAGAAATATATTATGCATATATATAATACATCTACATACTGGGAAACTTTTCTAGAGATGGGAGTCATTGGGCAACAAAGATATCTTTGCAAAACCATGGAAACAATATGAAACTGAAGATAATTTTGTTTAGAGAAACTGAGCACCACATATAAAATAAACTGTCAATTTTTGTGGTTTTTGTAAGCTATTAAGACAGAACAGCATTGTTACAGACTTTATTTTAAGGTAGTAAGATTCTTCTGGTGAAATATTGGTTCTCAGAATTCATGGGTCTTCCATACAAGAGCTTATCCTAATTATTAATCTTGTGTCAAAGTTTGTGTCTTTTGTTCTGTTGCTGTTGTTGCTATTGTTTTCCCACTCAAGTTGCTCCCTGCTTATTAAGTGAGTGGCAACTTTACTCTATCTTATCATCACTTTTATTTCTACTTTTTGAAAGATATAATACGATACTTTAATAATTAAAAACAATTGTGAATTCATTATGTGGGCACCATTTGAAGCATCAAAGACTGAAAAATCTCCAGATCTTAGTAATCAGTGTTGAAATATTATATGTATTCACGCTATAGAGAAATATCAACTTTAATAACTTTTGAATAGTTCTGAGTCAATGTCTGAATTGAAATGATTCCAGAATAAAAAAAAATGTGGAGAAGCTTTCATTTCAATGGATTTGGTTTCTTGTTCATTTTCTCTAGCATTCAATTATCTTGATTTGTAACTACATAGTAGAAATAAAAATATTAATGTTAATATCTATTAACATAAATAATAACTGACTATATGCCATAAATAATACTGCCTTCCAGTGTTTCATATTTTATCCAGTCATCTAAATTCTATATTCTTTTTTCCCTTTCTACTTACTTTTTGGCAGCAGTTAGGAATAGGACTGAGAAATATAGCTAACTCTGGTTTAAAAAGAAAGTGTTAGCCTTTTTTCCTCCTTTTTAACTTAAACAATTACATAATCACTTATCTCTTTGCTTCTTAAAAAAAACAAAAATGATTAAAAACTGCTTGTACCATTTATAAGATTATATTTTTTTTCCTGATAATTATCCATTAACAATAGTCAATTTTTAAGAGCATTTCACAGTGTTATTTTAAAGCACCAGAGTGGTAGATATTAATGACTTTGTGTCTAGCAACCTAAGTACAAAACCACTCCATGATCTATCAGCTTATTACATGAATTCTTAAATACTATTGAAACAAATACAACTTCCATATTTGGTAAAAAATAAAAAAGCAATCTATCCTATAGTGAGTTGAAAATTAGTTTAATTCTACCCCTGACAGGATTATATGAATTTTCAATAAAACAATTCTTATAATTATTGTCCCAAAATTATTTAGTAAGGGGATATATAACCTCTTTTATGTCTTTATAAACACAGTTAATTTCATAAAACCTCTGGAGATAAGATTTTTGTGATATTTGCTTCCACTTCTGAATTATTTTTTCATATTTTCTCATATCTCTGTCAAAAATAATATTCTTTTTTTAAAAAATGTTGGCAAATCACCACTTTGCAGTCCATTTTCTCCTGAAAAGCCTTCCCAGACTATCAAAAACAATTTTCATTCTGTTCCATTCCACACTACAAGCACCTACTTCACAGATTACAATGAATGGTTTCTCCCTCTCCTAACTGTTTCCAATATATTCTTTACAACGCTGTCAGGACTTACTGAAGAGTACTTTGTATTATCATTTACTTTTGCAAGTACCAATTATTTCTGATACATCCAAATAAGTTGTAAGTTCTTTGAGGATAGAAACTCTGATACTTTCAGCTCTTAATTTATCTTCCACAATATTTAATGCTCAGTAAATGTTTGCAGCTACTGTTGTTACTATAGAATTTAGACATAGTCCAACGGCCAAACCAAAACAACAACAACAAAAAAGATAGATTTTTAAAATAATGTAAACATTCAGATTTGATTGGTGTGTACCATCTCTCTACTGCTGAAAAGGGGAAAATAACCCTTCAATTCATTGATTTATGGCCTTTTTTAGTTGGTGTGATTGATACATCATTCTAATAAGAAGCCTAGCTAGGTGGGTCCTTAGTAGAGACACAGTCTGTCACAGGGCCCATATGTTAAGCACCTCCCTACCCAACTCACATGATGTCTCACCAGCTTGGTAGGAATTATCAGGACCTTGCATTCCACTTGTTCAGACTTCAGACACACAGGTTACCTCTAAACCACAGTGAAGCAGTACAATATAGTGGAATAATTACCAAATGGCTGGAGATAGAGAAGACAGGTAGATAGATAGATAGATGGATGGATGGATGAAGGGATGGATGGATGGATGGATGTAGGTAAGCAATTAAAATAGTATCACCAGAGGCATTAGTTTTTTGCCCATCTAAGCTCTGTAGTCTTCCTCCTTTAAGAATTTTCCTCAAATGTTATTCTGCAACCTCTGAAAAGAGAATTTGGGGAAAAAAATATTCTTTACAGCAAGAAGCAGAAACTTATCCAAATATTCCAAATGTCATTTACCTCTAGTAAAGGAATTCCTGCTAAATTGAAAGGGTAGATGTTTCATAAAGTGTTATTTTACTTTAAGTACTTTTTCATGAACTTCAGGTGGATAACATTTTCTTCCTTATAGTAAAAAAGAAGAACCTATTTCAATGGAAAAAAATATTTTTTTCTTTTGCATATGCAAAATAAATCTTGAAACAGAAAAAAACTTTAAATTTGATGTTGCCCTTTTAAGAGGGGAAAGTTCAAGATTTTTTTTTTTTTTTTTTTTTTTTTAGGTAAAAGCTCTTAGGGAAGTAGCCTATTTACTCTTGGCTTATTTTCTAATTTCGGATAGGGTTTTAAAACCAGAGATCCTTGTAATTGTAGTTAACTGAAAGAAACAAATAAAATCAATCATCTCTAGTCGTTCTTGCCTTCTTCAAAGTCTTGACATTCTGTATGGGATCTTTTGCCATTTTGGATCATTCGCTTAAAGAGCATTCTGATTAAACACATACGTATGATTTCTTTTTGTGTGCACCACGAAAGACTCTTCGGCTCCTAGTTGTGTTGTTTTTATGGTTGTTGTTGGTTTTTGTTTTGTTTGGTTTGGTTTGGTTTTTGGTTGTTTTTTGGAGGTTTTTGTTTTTCTGATTTAAACAAGTTGGCATTTGGTTTGCAGTCAAAATCAAATCTAAATGGAACAGACATGTTATTGCTGTTATTTAAATAAAGCATCTCTTGTGTTCGCCTGTTTTGGTAGAAGTATTGCTCTTACAGCTTCCCTGGATCTAAGTGTACGAGTTGAAATTAAAATCCTCTGGAAGAGTTACAGTTTTTCTTAGGAAGCCCTGGGCAGAGAAAGCAATAGAATCAAGAGGGTGACGATAGGCAGAGAAAGATTTATACTTAAGGAGAATTGTGGGGTGAGCAGCAAGACAAGAGTTAGGAGTCGGGTGGTAGTAGTGGTGTGAGGCAGTGTCTTCTGAGCATCTTTCCAGTAACCAGCAGTGACAGGAGAAGACAGCAAGAGAAGGCTGAGAAGAGAGCTGTCTTTCTCCAACCCTCCCATTTCTTCACTCCCCTCACAGGGGAGCGGGGATGGTGCGGTCCAGCCAGCTGTGGAGCTGCTGAGTGATGCTGCGAGACCGTGGGTGCCCGGGGCGGCGACAGCAGAGGGGGGAGCAAACAGCTGGCGGAAGAGCAGGCAGAAACGCTCTCTCTCCCAGCGGCGGCGGCGGCGGCTGCAGCGGCGACTGAAGACGTGGAGAAGGTGAAGAAGGAAAGAGGCGGAGGGCGCGTTCCCCTCCGCTCTATCTCCCCCATCCTTCCACTGTCGTGGTTAAAACTGGGGTACAGACACCCAGACGCTTAGCTGTCGCCGCTCTCTCCACCTCCCTCCTTTCGGTGGTTGCTGCTGGCTGAGCTGCTGGGGCTACTGGACTAAGGAGTAGCAACAGCCCTGGTGGTAGCGGCAGCAGCGCCCTGCGGGAGGGGAGAGATCAGCGGAGCCACTGGCTACATTGACTACACATACTCAGCAAGAGCAGGAAAGCAGCAGCGCGTTGGCTGCTGTTCCTTTACTGCCTGGATGCTAGAGCTTCCCAATCAGCCTGCCACGGGCACCCTAAAGGAGGAGGAAGAAGAGGAGGAAGGATCTGGACATCGGGGATAGGAAGAGGAAGGAGAAGAAAAGCGACAAAGCGCTAGCCATGGCCTCCAACTTTAACGATATCGTCAAGCAGGGCTATGTGAAAATCCGCAGTAGGAAGCTGGGGGTGAGTTATTTTCCTTCATCCTTTTCTTTTCTACCTGCTCTTCTCTTTACCATCTGCCGTCTGCTACTTGTGCAGTTACAGGAGAGGTTTGACCAGCGCGGGCGAAGCAATTGGAGGAGCCGAGAGACTGGGAAGGGGGCGAAGTGGTCGGGGGAAGGGGAGAGCAGTTGCCAAGAGTCCTCTCGGGCTGTCTGCTTGTTGCTTGGCTGGGGTGGGAGCCTAGCTAGCGCTAGTCCTGGCTCTGCAGAAGGGAAGCTCAGCAGCTCGGGTGTGGGTGGCAAGCCAGACCCGGAACCTGCTATCGTTACTTCCTCTTCTTAGAGAAGAGGGACTCTGCTAGTTTGGACCTCCCAGTCTGGAATTTCATGTTAAATAAAATAATTCTTTATTTAGATGTAGAGAGGGATGATGTGCTTGGAGCCTGCCATGGAATGATCAGTGCCATTAATATATGTGATGCATAAACATGCTGATATGTCTTGTGTATTTACCATCAGCCTCTTGTCTTCTTTTCAAGTGAATCCTGAAATGCCCTTTAAGTACACTTCCTCTTTTAGCCCCACTGGGTATTTCAAGTGGAAATGTAGTCTACATGTGTAAACACAGGCATATTACATATATATCACATGTGGATATACACTTATGGCCATATACACACATGTCTATATATATGGAGAGAGAGCGCAATAACAACAAACTTTGTGCTGAAATTCCCTTGGTTCTTTTTAAAGGTACATGTCCCTTGACTTGGAGAAGCAATAAAAATATTGAGGATTTTCAACTAAGAAAGTGATTATGTGGAAAGATTGGAGAGAAGTAATAAGGGCACAGATGAGGGCGGGGGCGGCAAAGGGGAGGGAGTTAGGTGGAAGACAGAAAGATAAGCAAAGGCTAAGAAAGAAGAAAGGAGAAAGAAAATACAGTACTTCAAGGGAATGGATGGAGAAAGAAATAGAATTAATGACAGAGGGAATACATAGAAAAAATACACAGGGACGAGGGCGATGGAGGGACGAGGGCAATGAGGCAGAGAGAAGAAAAGCTAGGCTGGGGGAGACAATGACTGATACCAGTGGAGACAGCAACAGAAGCAGCCTGGAGTCGGCAGGGAGGAACAACCCGACTGTGGAGAAGGGGGTATTTTATAGGAACAGGCGGTTTCGAGATTTCAGCGGTGCGTCTGTGCCTAACAGTTCTGAAACTTCCCACTTCTGAATGAATATCTCCACAACCTTAGTCCAAAATGGCCCAAAGTGTTTATTTCTTTGCTAAATGAATAAACGCGGCAAAGAGGCGGGGAACGAGGCGGGGTTATTTTGTGTTTTATTGCAAAAATAAAGGAAAAATAAAACCAATATTGTTGGCATGGAAGGAAAACACAAAGGCATACTAAGATGGCTTAAGGTTTCTAGGTATATGGGAAAGACTGAAGATTATCTGACACCAAGCGTAGGTTTTCCCCCACCCTATCAGGAGCAGTTCTGTGAGTGTGGCAGGCAAGCAGGTGTGTAGGGGTAGGAGGAAGGAAATGTCTGGCTCAGCTTTTAGCGTTCCCGCTGCTGCATTTGCCAACCGAGGGTTAGGAGGAGTGATTATGCCCCCTTCTGATGTAGATGGTACTGACAACGTTCTGAAGGACACGAGGGGCTGAGCTCTGAACTCCTGAGATATACAGAGAGCTACATAGCAGAACGATTGGGAAAGTATTTTTTTTTAAAGACTTTAAAAAAGCAAAGGGCGATAATAAGATGCTTGTACTTCCTTGAGACCAGAGGAAAAGGGAGAAAAGGAGAAGAGAGAGTTAGGGGAAGAAGGAGAAGCAAGTGAAGGGAGTGTAGAGAAAGGAAGGAGAAACAGAGAGTATGTAGAGAAAGGGAGGGAGAGAGAGAGAGAGAGAGAGAGAGAGAGAGGAAGAGAGAGTGCTTATCGGTTGTAGCCCCTCCCCCCCTTTTAGGAGCTTTTCTAAAGTCAAAGAATGTGCCCTATTCCTTCTCTGACAGATAAGGAAAAGGCCATCTGAAAAGCTACATTCAGACAAGACCTTCAGGAGCTTATCAGCTCTGGATGTAGTACTAATATTTATCACTTGCAAAAGATGTCAGCCTAGTAAGGAACATAGGCTTCTAAAGAAAGGAAAATCATCATCACAAATTGACCTTTGAAACCTTTTGCTGTTTTGGCGGGGATGTTCATCACACATACTCTTCTCCCTTTGGAATTCCAATTATATCTGTCTCTATACATGGTTCATGCTAATGGGTGATTTAAAGTCCCAAAGGGAACCCCAATGTCTGTTGTGTTACTGTCTCAGAGTGCCTGATAATGAGACTATGGAATATTGGCTAAAGAATTAACTTCTAGCATGAAGTGAATCTGTGACATTTGTGAAAGGGAGGGGGATACAGCCATTGTCAAAACATTGCTACCCAAGCAATTCCCACAAACTGCTTTCCAGGTTTTCAGATAGTAAGATGAGTGCTAAAAAATACACCTCCTCAGAAAATGATATCAAAACAAAAATTACTAGGTGCTATCCCTCAGGTTACAGTGCCACTGGTTTCCTATTGATTTTACTTTTAAATAGCAATTATAGTCATCCTATATCTATACATACATATATGTGTGTATGTTATAAAGTGTGTGTGTGTGTGTGTGTGTGTGTGTGTGTATCCCTATGTAGATCAAAATGTAAATCTGGGTCTACACTAATTCTACATTTAACAAAATTTTTGTCAAAGGATAATATACAAAAGTCTTACTAAAATATATGTAGTTATATACATATGTATATTTGTGTACATATAATTTAGGCTACTTAACTTTCCTTTTTCTGCCTTAAGATTCTACTCCAAGAAACATAAACTTGGACAATAGAGAGTTTAGACTGCAAAAGCATTTGCTTTATTTTCTTTCTTAATAATAAATCTGCATGGATCCACCTTGAGTGCCATGGAGAAAAAGAGTCTTTTAAGAAATATTGGAAAATTCTCTACTATTTGTAAAATGAAGATGGAAAAGTTCAACCAGTAGAATCTCAGGAAGATGGTACTATAACCTCAATACATAAGGCAGGAGTGTCAAAAGGTAAAGCTGTGATTAAACAGATAAACTTTTTTTGTAAATATGCATGCATAAAATAGTATAAAGTCTTATATGAGAAGCTACTTATAAAATGCATTATATAATATAAATGTTTAAAATGTATAGCTTATGCAGATTCCTCTCCCTACATACTCAAATTCATTCTATCACAAATACTCATTTTAATTCAAAAGATAAATGTTAATGATTTTCCTTTGGTTCTAAGTTTAAATGTCATTTCCCAAATATTACAGGGATTTTTAATGAACTCTTCAAGTATGCTGCAGTGATTTATGTGACTGAATTGTGGTTAGAGGTGTTTATGATCTCTAAATAAGAATTATAATATTCTCTGAGAAAATAGCTGTAACTCTTGACCCTCAAGACAAATTCCACCTTGGATAGTGTTCAGACGACATTACAGTTTGCTTTATGGTGATCCTAAAGTATTTTTTCTCATAAATTGTGTATTCTTTTTCAATTTTTTAGAAGTGTACTTCTAGAAAATAATTTTTTGTGTCCTTCACAGCAGGTCAGGACTATCAGAGCCCAGGTGGTTAATGCAAGTTTTAATGTTGTACCAGGGCAATAAAGCTTCTCCTACTCTCTAGGCATTGGTCCAGCCCATTACAGAAATTCTTCCACTGCCTTTGCTGTACTCTTTCTCTCTCTCTTTTATGGATGAAAAAGCACTGGCTAGGAATCAAACTAAAGATACTCCAATCTTCTGCAACCTGTAGAGTGGCTGTCCCTCAGCCAGCTGATGAGAGGAAGATAAGTAAAGTGCCAAACATTACAGAAAATGTATAGGTCTGCTTCAAGAGTCAGATTTGCCTGAAGTCTTTGAGTCATAAGCTTGTTTTTATGACCTCTCCCTCAATGGGAGTGTGGATGAGAGACAACAAAGAAGAGCATGGGACTTAGGTTCATGAATAAATTCCCTTCCTTTTGTGAAAACTGATTTTTTTTTGGTAATTTTTTTGTTTAATGAATTCTTAGTTAAGGAATAATGATGTGAATTTGTTAAGGATTTCATCTCCATTTCTTTAAATGCCATAGCTTTATTCCATATATAATAGATAATTACTGCATAAGAAGATGTGTTCTATTTTTTTTAGCATTTAAAAGCTCTGTTATATGCTAATTCTACTGTGAACCCTGAGTTTTTAGATGAAGTTATTATAATTCATAAATTACCATGATTTCTACTCTTCCATTTTTTCAGATGAATAAGAACACTGCTTAAAGAAACATTGATTGCTAGGATTATGAACTTTTTAGCTGTTTACTTGCTTGAATTTACTTAAGCATATTTAAACCATATAAGAAGAGAGGTTTTTTTTTAAAGTTATTATTCTTGAGTAAGGAATGGCAAGGTTTATGCCATGTAAATTTCTCAAAATTCTTGCCTGTGATATAATTCATTCATTTCCTGTCTTTGTGATGCTTATGTCCAACATTAACAATTCAGTGACTTGCAGATTCAGTTGTTTTATACAGGGGTCCATTTTTTTTAAAGTTTCTTCTGATGTTTGGAAGCAAAGATCCTGGAGGGACTTTATTATACTCATTAGTATTAGTCACTTAAAAATAAGAAGCTTAAAAAGTGCATTTGATTATGAAATCCATTACAGTTCAATAAGATTGTAAATTCCTTAAGAGCAGATTCTGTCGTTTATTTTATCACTATATTCCAAATGCCTACCAAGGTCTTTGCATATAATAGGTACTTAAAATGTCTTTTTAAATTGAATTGTTGAATAAAATATAGATTCTTGTTTTAAGAGAGCCTCCATTTTAATATATAAATAAGTTAAATATCAAAATGTTCACAAATACATGAAAGTCATTCCTTTTATCTTTTTTATCTCTTTCATGGGAAGCAGTGGGGCATAGTAGGAAGAGTGTCAGGTGTAGAA